CTTCCAGTGTCACACGGTCGAAGTCTTCACAATGCAGCTGAAACACCTACCTCCACAAGAACTATTTCCTAGATCTGACTGTGCCCACTTTAAAGGGACATTTGTGTCTTCAGTATTCCAAATACACCTTATATTTTATCCTACATAGTGCTTATCTCCTGGCATAATAATTTAGCTATTTTGCCTGGTTATTCCAGTTTCAGGATGGCATTCATGTCTGACTCATCTTCAGGAAGTGTATACATCAGCCCACTGTGTTTATGCACCATTTCATAAGTAAATGAATGGCTACACCGGTGACAAATAGAATTTCTGGCAAAGAGGTGTCACTGTAACAAACAGGAATTAGGAAAGGATATTTTGGACAAGTTGGAATTTGTGCTAGACTAAGAATTGGTGTGCTTTGAGGAGGGGTTGTGTGAAAGGCACGAGGTTACTGTTGTAGAGATGACTCTTCTCTGTGTCTAGATGGGGCGTACAGATGTGGAAACTCACACTTGGGCATTTTTTTTTGGTCTTTTTGAGACAGGGTTTCTCTATGCAGTTCAGGCTGGCCTTGGGCTCACTTTATAGCTCATTCTGGTCTTCAACTCACAGTGATCTCCTGCCTCAGCCTCCCAAGTGCTGGGATTACAAGACTGTGCCACCATGCTTGGCTATACATTTTTTATATAAACATCACAAACATTTTTCTGTGACCAGAAGAAAGAGTCTTTAAGATTATGGCCAGAATGGTAGCTGTTCTCTAGCCCTTAATCAACAGGAAATAAAGAGTATGTAATATCTCTAAATTGTGCACTGGACTCCCTACCTGGCTGTCTGAAATGACAGGATCACAAGGGTGGTCACTGATGAAACTCCTTTAGAGTTCTGTTCCTGAGGGCCCACCAGAGCCCCAGGCTTCCTTCATTATGCTGCAACCACCCCTGCTCTGAGGCCTCCATCGGTCCTTCACGTATCTAGGCTGGTCTTGGGGGCCCAGTCAGGCTACTCTATGAGGACTGGGTTACAGGCAGGGAAGCTGAACGCTGAATCTCCTCCCCTAACTCCTAGCAGGATCTGGAAACCAACTTCACCCAAAAGAGATGAGATTTAATAGATATCTGGAGAAAGAGCCTCAGTGGGTGATAGTCTCAGCTCTTTAATCTCTTTGATATCATTCTGAGCGGGATTCTTACATTTTCTGTCAGGACTTTGCTTCTCACATCTGTGATATGAAGAGATCTGATGCACTGAGAACCAGCCATGGAACATGGAGAGGAGGGAGGGCTACAAAAGAACCCACCTTGTGATGGCTTAGAGGCCAGTGAGGTTTCCTGGAAAGCGATGTGAAGCAGCAGGAAACTGCGCAGCTCAGTTGGCCACACTGGAAGTAATATGTGGCTGTATCTATGGGACTGATATACAGTGAGTCTGATACCATGTCTTTGTGTGGATTTTCCATCATAGTATTAGCCTCGGGGGATGTCGGAATTAGTCCCATGAAGAAGGAGGTGGCTGTGTGGGTCAATAATACAAGTCCTCATAAACACTGCAGTAGTGAAGCAGTGGGACTTTACACCTCAGGGGACATAGAGTATCTTCAGTAGCTTCAGCTCCACTCCCTCCCCATATTATCCTATGTATGGGGATAATAAGGGCGATATTACAAAAACTCAGGTTAACCGATGAAGCCACAGAGGAGCTGTCTGTTTTCCCAAAGTCACCCAAGGAATTAGAGGTGGAATCAGCACTGAGTTTGATTGAGGATAGTGCTCCCCCATATTTGAAGGTTGAGGCAGGCTGATTCTAAACCTAAGAATTCAAGGAAGCCCACCATGGACCTGGGGAGGAGGCATAAACTCAGGAAAGGAGACAAAGACGCGTGAGGCCCTTTCCAACTTCAAATTCTTAATGAATCCTCAGGAAGACAGCTCCTACCCAGGGCCTTGTTAGTGAGGCCTGGAGGGGCTGTGTCTCAGGAGTCTCATAATCATCCTGGAGAGGAATGTGAACCATTGTGCTGTGCCTGGAGAAGATGATGAGACAGGAGGGAGGGCTTTAAAGATGTTCCCTACTATGCTTTCCAAGCCAGGCTCTTAGGAGTGTAGAGTCCATTGCTAGACATGAGAAAAGACAGACATCTGGCACCCAGTATGTACCACACCCTTCAGACTCTCTTTTCCTCTCCACTGTCCACCCAGCCTTAGGTGACAGCATGCTCTGTGCTGGAAGCCAGCTGGGCTTTGTACATAGGTGTCCTGTCTTCCATGTATAAGCAACTGCTTAAAACATTTAGGCCTCAGTTTTTTATTGCAAAGTGTGTGTAATATAACTCTCACAGTTGATAGCAGAATTAAATGGAGTAACATTCAGAATTCTTGGTAGGGGACTCCCTGTTACATATTTTACTCAATGACTGAGAGCTTTTGTTTTGAGTTTGCTATGGACATGCCAGTATTCCTTGCACTTTCGATATATTAAATCCCAATCAGGCCTTTTGCCAGTTCTCTGAGGTAGGTATCCTTTTCATTTCCATTTTACAAACAAATAACTTGAGGTTCAAAATAACTCAGTAATTTTCCTAAGGCTACACAAGACTTTGAGGAGTAGGTGTTGAAGCCTGTGCCTGCCTGGCTGTTGGCACCAATTAATATCATCTGTGCCATCTGACTTACTCTTTCCCTGCTTTCCTTAGCCCCCTTTGCCCAAACAGTGTGCTTTCAGCTCCTGCTTGTGATGTCTATGGCTTTCAGTATACTGGGAGATATACCTTGGGGAGAATCTTAAAATAACTGTATTTCAATAATAGCAACCATGCTCCATCATGGGTAGCCCAGCCCACAGCATTAAATACGACAGCCAGCTGCTACCTCTAATTTAACTCTTGCTTTTCTGTTGTATCTATTACTCTCACAGCAAAGAATATAACCCTGCCTGTGGGGAGAGCTGACATAAAAATATAAAATTTCCAATTGGCAGAAGGCATGAAAAACAAAGATGAAAGAAAAACGGAAAATGGGAATACTATGTGGAATTATTTACAAAATACATGGCAAAAGGATATAATGCACAGCACATAAAAATTCCTGTAAATCCATTAAAAACTAACAATCTAGTAGAAAGAGAAAAGGTTATGAACAGACAATTGCAAATAAAGAAATAGGAATGAATTGTGTTGACCTTTGCAGGCTGCCATAACAAAGTACTATAGTTTGCAGGGCTTAAACAATAGAAATGCATTTGCTCAGAATTCTGAAGCGAGAATTTCAAGATCACTGTTCCCAAATGGTCAGATTCTGGTGAAGGTTCTCCTCATGACTTGCAGATGGACACTTTTCAGTTCATTCTTGTGTGACAGGGATGGAGGGAGGGACAGGGAAGAAAGACGAAAGAAGAGAGAAGGAAAAGAAGAAGGAGAAAGATGAAGAGGAAGAGGAGGAGAGGAAGAAAGAGAAGAACAAGAAAGAAGAAGAAAGAAGAATAGGGGAGGGGGAGAGAATGGAGCTGGGAGAGGCAATGAGAGAAGAGAAGAGAAGAGAAGAGAAGAGAAGAGAAGAGAAGAGAAGAGAAGAGAAGAGAAGAGGAGAAAAGAAGAGAAGACGAGGGGAGGGGAGAGGAGGGGAGGGGAGGGGAGGGGAGGGGAGGGGAGAAAAGAAGAGAAGGGATATCCAAGATCTTATCTCCAAATAAGTCACATTGGAGACGAAGGCTTCCACATATGAAATTTGAGAGAAATACAATTTAGCCCATACCATAGATAATACTTGAAAATATATTCAACTTTGTGAACATAAAAATTCATATCAAACTAATCTCAGTAATTTTCAATCACTCTATTATATGAAATTAGAAGCATTCATTCATAACATCCACTGTTATCAGATGTTTGGAAAACAAGCAGTTTTATTTACCACTGGAATAATAAAATGTTCAAAATTTTTGTAGAGAAAAAAAATATATATCTAAACCCAAATTTTTATTTCATACAACTCAATTTTAATTGTCAGAACTTATTGAAATGCTTCCAGAAACATAATACAACTATGAAGAATATTCTTTATATTATTGATTGTAAATGGTAAATCTGAAAACAATCTGAACTCTATTGAAAGGTATATTTAAATTATGGTTAACTCATAAATTAATGCTAGAAAGCATTAATTAGTTCTAGGAGGAGTTTTTAGATATTTGACAGGTGAAAGACTCTACCTACTATGTACTGCATAAACAAAAAAATCACAGAACAGCCCTATTGATATGAAACATACCACAACCTGTTTATACTGCTAAAAATATAGAAGCAAGTTTATACAAAAATGTTTATATATTTATAAAAAGCTAGAAGAGGTCAGCACCAAATTCTTAGTAGTAGTCACTTCTGGAGCATTAAATTATGAAAAGTAAGGATGAAGAGAGTGATGGTATTGATTTTAATTTTCTACTGATAAAATTTGTTTTGTTTTATTTACATAAATATATTTTATAATGAAAAAATTTAAAGATTAATAATTTTCCTTTAGAAAAGAGAAATATACATTCTCCACTATGTTTTAAGTAGAATATCACAGTGTCAACAGGGTGCTGGATCTCAGTGCTCCCAGCTCTGCTGCACAAGTTCTGAATCATTTTGTGGGACTCAGAGTGAAAGCAAGTGGAGGAGCTGCTCTCAGGGGAAGCTGGCAGGTAGGATGTGCCACTTCTTTGCACTAGGCTGTGACTTTTCATTTTCCAGCTTGTAGAGAATCTAAGCAAAAAATACAATGAGGGGCCCTTCCTGTAGGACTCTGAGCCTCCGGGACACAGAACTTCCTGAGTGCCACCTGAGTCCAGCTTGGGAAGTGTTCTTAGGACCAAAATGGCTGGCCAAGGGCTGTGTTCAGCAGCATATGTCTACCTACTATTAAGTGGAGCCTCTTTGGGAGGCAAGAGCATTACTGTCTAACAAAAGCCATCCTGCTCAGAGACCTAGGAGAGACAGGGACTGCTGCTGTGTGGTTTGGGTTCTTCTGGGACACGTTTCACACCATAGCTCGCTTTCCTGTGAGTACCCTCTGCAGGGCACCCTGCACATCAGGGTTCCTCAGGCTGTAGATGAGTGGGTTCAGCATGGGGCTGATGACAGTGTTGAGGATGCCAATGCCTTTGTCCTTGTCTGAAGCATCCACTGAGCCCAGCCTCATGTAGTTAAAGATGCCTGTCCCATAGAAGATGCCCACAACAGTGAGGTGGGAGCTGCATGTGGAGAAGGCCTTCTTTCTACCCTCAGCAGAGCGAATTCTCAGGACTGCAACTGCCACATGGATGTAGGAAGTGACAATGAGAATCACAGGTGCACCAGCCATGAGGATCCCCAGACCAAAAAGTAGCAGCTCATTGAGTTTGGTGCTGGAGCAAGACAGTTGGAACAGCTGTGGGAGGTCACAGTAGAAGTGGTTGATCACACGGGGGCCACAGAAGAGGAGTGTGGATATGGCCACAGTATGGGTCAGTGCATTGGTGAAGGCACACACCCAGGACACAGCCACCAATGTCCTCTGGACAGTCTGGTTCATGCGTGTGCTGTAGGTGAGGGGCCGGCAGATGGCTAGGAATCGGTCATAGGCCATGGCTGTCAACAGAAAGCAGTCTACACCAGCAAACTGATGGAAGAAGAAGAGCTGCGTGAGGCAGGCTCCATACGAAACCGTACGTTTGTGGGACAGAAGTCGACCCAACATTGGGGGAACAGTGACACTAATGCACCCGACATCCAGCACTGAGAGGTTCCCCAGGAAGAAGTACATGGGGGTGTGGAGTTTGGGCTCCAGCAAGATGGCTGCTAGGATGCTGAGGTTGCCCCCTGCTGTGACCAGGTAGGCAAAAAAGAAGAGCACAGAGACAACTGGTCGAAGTCCTGGTGTCTCCACCAAGCCCAGTAGAATAAACTCAGCAATAATCGTTCCATTGGCCCTGGATTCTGGTTCCATATGTCCCTTAAAAAGACATTCCAGAGTGGACGAGATTAGGCTTCACTATTTCATTATTTAATAAAAATATGTGGAATGACTTTCATGTGTCAAGTCGCAGGGTTAATCTCTATGGTTCCCAGTGAGTATTTTCTCATTCCTCAGGCCACATCTCCTTAGTAACCCTCTCTCTGCCTTCACCTTGTGTGTGTATTTTCTGAACCTACTACTACTTGAAATTCCTTTCTTTCCTCATGAAAGGTATTTACATGTTGTTCTACTTTATTCCCTAGAATCAATAAATGAGGGGTCTTCCCAGTAAGGACCTCTATGAGAAAATTTGGGGATAAAATGATACTCAGAGTAAGAATGAATAGATAACAAAGTAGAAAGAAACACATGAATTGATCATAGATCTATACAAATCTATTATAAATAAAAGAAAATAACTATGATGAGGAAAGGAAGAAAGGGAAAAAGAAAAAAGGTATATATACATAAGATAGTTAAGGTAGCTATACAGCTAGCTTCTATCTGTTCCTTGAAAAGAGTGTCTTGTGCTAATATTGTCTAAACAAGATGTCAAGCCTGTATCTTGTACTCTGAATAACTATTTAGATGACAACAATATACAATGTATCAACTACTGTAAGTGTGCTACTAACCTGGTTTTGTGCTTTGATTTCATTGTTTATTTTTTCTCCTCAAAATAAAAAATTAAAATTTAAAAATCTGGCAAGTGTAAGGAAGAACAAAAAGGGAAAGATAAACAAAAGTAACAATTAAAAAAATCCAGCTATTCACAGACCAAAAATAAATTTGAATAATCAAACTCTCTGCTTCTGTTTGAGCTACTCCCAAATACAATAAACCAGTTACAACTAGCAAAAGAAGAAACATTTGTCAAAACTGTATGTCTATATGTAGGCTCCAAATTTATTCCTCCTATATAAAAATTATTTTAAATATGTTAGCATAAATAGAATTTTCATATAAACCTTCTTTAGGTTAGAAAAAATGAAAATTTTTCCATCCACATTTTTCTCATTCATATTTTAAAACTGAAAAATTTTGATAATAAAATATAACAAAGATTTTACAAAATGAATTATTCTTCACAACCCTTATTTGGCAAGATAAATACAAAAATCCTAAGTAAAATGAAGAAAATGAGCTACAATCAAATAGATTTAGAAAGAAGATGATTTAGCATCCAAGATATACCAATTGGGTTTAAAAGGAAAAGTTTTCTAAAAAGCAATTCAGAGATGTCTATATCCATTTGTAAAGTAGAGAAGACAGGAAAAAGGCAAATAATGACAGCAGTAAAACTTGTGGTTACAGGAATGGAGGTGTGTGAGTTTATGTAACAAGACATGTTTGTTACAAACCTACATCCTTCACAACGCCAAAGTGGCATGTCTATTCTCTTAAAATCAAAATGAATGAAAGCGTTTTACTTCATTACTGTGTTTTTCATTGTTGTAAAAGTCTGAAGCAAAAGACCTAAGGTGCTTGACCAATAGAAAGGAAGTGGGAGATCTTTTTCAAATGATGAGGAAGCGAGAGATGGAGGGAGGGCAGGAAGGGTAAGTATATACCCTAATCACACATGCAGCTATCTAAAAAAATGGCAGGAAGGAAATATTTTTCAGTTCTACCTGCTGGTAGGAGCAGGGAGATTTTGAGCTCCTATTTTCTTGCCTTTCTTTTTTTTTTCCTTTAAGTCCTCTGCAACAGACTGGCTTAATTTATAATCCCAGTATGTATGTGCTGGTTTTGTAAGATTACAGAGGTCCTTATTGATTAGGGGTAGTGGCTCAGTGATTCCATTTTTCTTGTGTCTCCAGTAGATTTAGGGTGCTACTCCCCAGCATATCAGTAAAGGTTTAGAGTGCTATATGAATTTGCCTCAGTGCTCTATGAAGTAATAATAGCAATTCACTCCATTATGTTTTCTTTATAGGAAGTGTAATAAAACAACTGAGTTACCAGTTTCTGCCAAAATTAATCTATAAAGTATCCATCAGTGAAAGCTAATGGTTTGTTGCACTCCTTGCATGCATGCTTTAGCAGAAGATGGATTTACACAATATTTACCCTTTGCTTATCAAACAAATTCTTCTTTGATTTCCTTTTGATGCACTTTTAAAACATAATAGCCAGATAATATTCTTGGTAACTAGAAGTATTTAAATTGTTTTGAGACTATAACAAAAATCATCATAGATAATAAATATTAAAACTTATGATGTGTATGACCCAGGAATAATGAAGATAGATTCCAAATTATTGTACATTACTTTAAATCCAAGACATAGTCAGCTACTTATCAATAATATAGTCTCTGAGTCACTTTCAGGGAATCCCACTTCCAGGATAATATTCAGCTGTAATCTACTGTACTAGTTTAAATCTTATTAAATAATTTTACCATCATTTCACCCACAGAATTAGTCTTACCAGTGCACATAACTGTATACTCAGTATACTCTGCATTTTGTATACTCTATAGGCAGTGGCATTGACCCTCAGATATTGTCCAAAGACCAAGCTGTTTTAGATGTTGAATAATTTCTACTCTCTCCATTGTTGAGTTGGATATCAGGTTCAGAATGAATACTAAATGTACTTATAAAATGTCTGATGTTCTATTTTTAAAGTAGTGCTATTACTGAGACAGCTCTCTGTACCCTTGCTAATTTCTAAACAACAAAGAAGTTATCAGAGAAAGAATTTGTGTGGAGACACTTGTAATTTGTCCACTCGTCTGACCAGCTCAAGACAACTGCTTCGAACTAAGTCCCCAAGACGCACTTCCTGATACCTAGAGGGCATTAGAAAGTGCATCATACATATGTGGAAGAACAAAAGTAAATCCTATCTGTCATCAGAGATCAAATTAAAATGAATCAAGCTTAAAATAACTGTAAGACCTGAAATTATAACTACAACAAAAATCAGGATGAAAATATTTTAAGACATTGGAATACACAAAGAGTTTTGGAAAAGACCATAAAGTATAAGTAACAAAAAGCAAAAATAGACAAATGAGATTATATTAAACAAGAAGCTTTTTCACAAAAAGGAGCTATCAACAGTTTCAAGAGACAACCAGAAGAATGAGAGACAATATATGCAAACTTTTTATCTGACAAGGGGTTAATTTCCAGAATACTTAAGGTCAAGCAGATGCAAACAACAAAAGCAAACCAAGCAAAAACCAAAAAAATAAAAAAGCAAAACAAAACAATACAACACAACAGAACACAACAACAACAAAATGAGGTCTAATTTCAAATGATTTGGACAGATGACATACAAATGGTCACAATATATGAAACAAACATTCATCTATTCATACGAGTCAAAGCTCCATTTGTTTTGCCACAGAAAAGATGTTGAAGGCAGGAATAGTCCACTTATTCATGTTCCATATGCAAAGGATAACACTAGGAAAACTAGATTGATTTTACAGAGTTTTTTTCCTTTCAGAGGTAGTTGGAAATGGGAGATGGTGAAATGTTAGTTGCCTGGAGTTCTTAGGAAAAATACGAAGTAGAAGTAAATGTCCCTGCGTTCTAGAATGTCTTCTGTCACTGATAGAAGGATTCTAGTATTCGGAAGGCTGTTGCGGTGCTCTAACATGAGGCGGTGGGGCTGACACAGTTCAGAAGCCCTTATTGGTGCCTATATGGCTGTTTATTCTTGACAGCATAAGCAGCAGAGAACTCCTGATAATGATATCAGGTCATCAGTGTTCTATCCTCATTGGCAGGATAATTGCTAGCTATTAATGTTTTTGTGTTTGTACACATGTTGTGAAGGTCTCCAATTACAAAGTTCCCTCCAAAACTCCCAAGTTCTTCTGCAGTTCTCTTGGAGCCATGCTGGATGGATTCAGATTGAGACCAGCCTTTCTCTGCTGCTCACAGTCAGTATCCAGACCCTTCATCCATGCCAATTCTGGGACAGGCTCAATTTTTATAAAGCAGAGTAACAACTACAGACACACAGGAATAGCTAGGAAAGGCCTCCATACCATAATTCCAAACTAGAGCTTCATAATGCGGTGGCTGACTGCTGTGAGCCTTCACTGCACTATCCTGAAAAGTTTTCAATCAGTGATTCCTGTGTTACTCTGTGGGTCCTGATCATATATTTTTAACTTAGTCAATAAATAGTGTGAGTTGGCATGTTAATATTTGGAGCAAAGCAGCCCCTATACATATAAATTCAAGGGTAACTAAACTGTCTCTTATTTGCCTGCCACAATTTAGTTTAACTGAAATTGTAAATATTCATTCTGATTTTGTACCTCCCAGTTTTCTTAAACTGTTGATTCTGTCTGAAGCAATCCTCTAATTAACTTCAAGTTCTCAAATCCTTTGACTGAACTGAAATGTTCTCTCTCTATGGAGGTTTTCATGGTTCTCCACAAACTGCTTTCCTCTAAATTTCAGCAACACTTTAATTGTAGCCTTCTTGACTCTTATCTCTGTCAGCCTCCTGCATGGTTATTTCTCTGTGGAGCACATTTCCTGTCTACTGTGATTTGTGTATTTATGCCTGATTGGGCTTTCATTTTCAAGGTCTGTCATCATAGTTTTATATAGGATGTGCTTAATATTTGTAAGTAACCAAGTAAACTTCAGTGAGATGGGTATTGAATTGGCCAATAGGGGTAGGAAAGGTTTTCAGGACGAACTGGGGTTGATGCAAGCTGATAGGCTTTGAGGGAAGTACAGGTTTGAGTGAAAGGCACTGATGCACTGCTGGTAGCCTTTCAGCTCCCTTTGTCTAGACAGAGCATCTGTAAGGACTCATTGTGAGCAGTTAAAACAATTCATTAACATGACAGAGGCCTTTTTTCAAAAAGAGCCTGTAAAAATTGGGCAAGTAGAAGGGTTAGGTCCTGTGAATAAATAAGACTGGGCAAAAAGAACACACCTCACAGATGGCCCCCATGACTCTAAGAGACTTACTCATCGTTACCAAGATTCTGGGATTGTCTGTTCATC